TGATTTGGATTTGTGCAGACATTGACACCTCATATGTATAAGGGGCTGCCTCAGCAGCAGCTATCATTAACGTTATACACCCACGGCCTAGAGGAAGGGTTGGGTCTAGTTAGTACTTGGATGGGAGACCACAAACTCAAGGAAAGGGGGAAAAAAGGTTATTTGTTTCAGCTGTGGGGACAAAGGGCTGCAAGCCTAGTGGTCCTGCGTCACATGTGCTGCAGTACAAACTCCACTGAGGTCCCTTTGAGCCTTTAAACGGCTGGTCTGCACGTGCCATAGCACTTGGCTCAGGGGCTTGGGAGCTGCAGGGGCTCTCTAAAAAAAAAAAAAAAGTTCATGAGTGCAGAGATGATGAAGCAGGAGCAAAGTAGGAGTAACAAGTGGGAGCCCTGGGCACATGGATACAGAATATGGGATTTTTTCCTTACAATTTAGACTGAAAATGGCCCGGCCTATATGAGTGCTGCCTTCCAAATGTTTCGTGAAACTTTGCACATTTACCTTACCATGGGAATTCCTTATAATTCTCTAGGTCTAAAGATTGTTAAATATGCTCACCATATGCTCAAAATTCAACTACAAAAACAAAAAGGGAAATGCTTCCCTACAAAAAATTCACCCATCATAATAGACTTCACTTAGCAGTATATACTATTAATTTTTAAAATCCTACTAGGATGGAACTACAACAAAAAGACAATCAGGTAAAAGAAAAAAAGCTAGGAAGGATCCTTTGGAAAAAACCTTTATACTGGACAATGGGAGGGACTGAGCCCAATACTCACTTAGAACAGAGGGTATGCTTGTGTCATTCCAGAGAATGCTGAATAAATAGCCTATCTGAGTACTACAGCATGCTGTCTGGCTGTATCAGGGATCCAGACCCAGAGAAGGAGCTGATTCCACCTCTCAAGAAGCTGGTGCTCAGTCCTATGCCAGTGATACCTCCACACAACTGGCACACAAGGTTAGGGTTAGACCCCACCTGAGTACGATTAAAGGAATTGACCCAGAATGCCTAGGATATGGTAACCAAAAATGGGAATCAAGGGTCTGAGTAGGTGGCTGAGTATACAGAGATAACTGAGCTGAAAGCTGCATGAAAGAGACACAAAATTACTAGTATTTTTAAGACAAAATAAATACAAAAATGTATATTGATTATGGATTAAAAATTTTTATTTCTTTGAAAATCTTAAGAAATCTCTGGTAACTGACCAACAAAATCTTACTAGTCTTTTTATAGTTATAAATTCCTCAAATTGAAAATAGTTACTGTAATTCAGTTTGGTCAAAAATACATTTGAATGCAGTCTGATTTTGTAAGATATTTGTGTTTATCCAATCTGTTAAATTGTGTACTTATTTCTTTGTCTGTTTGTCACATCCATGAAGAGCTGTTTTGTTTGTTTGTTTGAGCTCGATAACTTTTCTCTTTTCCTTTTTTTCTTTTACATTTTTGGATTATTTGTTCAAAATTTAATTTGTTTTACAGGTGCTTCCACCTGGGTTGCCAGCTGGTCAAAATAATATTAAAGCTGGTTTTCTCAGAAGTCGTCAGAAATTTTCTAAGGTAACTAAGAGGACCTTTTGAGCTTGAAGAATTATTGGTCAAGGCTCCTTTTGGTGAATGAAAGAGTAGCTGTCTGGGAAGTTATTCCAGCATTTATCTTCATTAATAGGAAGCCATAATGATTTCCATAGTGTTATAGGAGATGCCTCCATAAAAGTTATTAAGAATATATCACTATGACAAATTTTGTTAACCACCATCAAAATATTTAGTTTTCCAAACAACAAGGCTTTTTATTTAAAGATGCTCTGGCACAATAGTTTTCATATGACAATTGATTCTTACTATTTTTGTGGAACGTTAAATGCATTCATACCTCCAGATGTATGGGTCTTCTGAACTGTAAAACAGGGATTGTTTATGGTGATAGACTTTTCTTTCAGATTCAGATATCTGCCTTTCACAAAAACTTATGATATGTACATTCCACTATAGGTCAACAAATTAGGAAAAAGCTTCTTGTATTAGATAGGAATGATTGACTAAAAGGGATGTTTTGTGTCAAACTGGAAATTCAGATGTGTTACAAAAAAGGTAATCATCATGAAGTCATGCTAAATATTATGTACAGCTTTGATTTATAATTTGATTTTTTGTGTAAAATATGTAACTATTATCTGTTAACATTCTATAGAGATTTAAGTACTAAGACAATGGTAGAAAATAATGGTACTATTTTGTATAATATTAAACTTACTGCTTCCCAATATAATGTAGTGTCATTAACCATCTCTTCTGAATGTTTAACTGAGATTTGGAGACCAAAAACTAGAAACAGAGATGGGCTGAGAGGATGGACAGTATTTTGGCCCCAGCCCTCTGAGGTCAGTAAGGACCCAGGACATAAGACAACTCTGTGAATCCCTGGTCTTCTGACCAAGAAAATTATAGGACCAGAGAGGAAAATGATCAATGATGTGTAATACACCTAAGGAGTGTCACTAGACAGTTGACACTAACAGAAGTCTAAGAGGTTCTGTGCATGATTACAAGGTAATTCTGGAGAACACTTAACTGACCCTGATACATAGCAAAAAATTAATTTTAACTAATATAGGTCTCCTTTTAACTTGGTCCTTAATATCAAGCAGAAAAGTATAGTCACAAGAGAGGATCATGGGTATTTTCTGAGAAGAATTGAAAACATTATACTACAGTAATATATGTGCACCCATGTTTATAGCAGCACAATTTGTAACAGCTAAATCTTGAAAAACCCATATGCCCATCAACTGAGCAATAAATTTTTAAAAAGATGTGTTATTTTTATACAATGGAGTACTACTCGGCTATATTGAAGGATAGATTTGAGGCTATTACACATAACTAGATGTAACTTGACACCATACTCATAAATGAAGTGAGTCAGACTCATGCATAAATATTCTATTGTATCCGTGGTGTAAAAAAATGAAAAAATAAATAATATCTAAAATATACAATAGATATTGATAAAGTGAAAGGGGAAGAAACTGCTCAAAAGGAAAGAACAAATAGGATAAGGGGAAAGGAGAAAAGAAAGAAGGAAAAATATTATATATATAATAAATAATCATAATACTAATCTATGTTGTTTCATCAATAAAAATGACTTCAGCTTCTATTGTTTGTTCTTTTTTATAGCTACATCTTTTTATATGAGCAACTACTTAAACATAACAATATTCAATATATTAACCATTGTTAATCTATTATTTTGTTTGAAATTCTGTATCTTTTTTTGTTTTAAAATTTAAAAAGGAAAAAGAGTGGTCTATGAAGTAAACACAGCTCCTCCAACTTCATTTGAATACCCACTAATTATAATTACAAAAACTTAAAAGGAGAGATGTTAAGAGTGGCTAAAGCTGGAGATAGATCCCACATGCAGAGGTGCAGCAAGGCTGCTCCCAAGAACCAAGAGCACTGGAGGCGAGTCATGTGAGCAAGCTTCTCTAGTCCAGAGCACACCAAGCCCTTAGGATGCCATGCAAACAGATTGCTAGGCAATGAGGTAGTACATGACACTAACTTGATAAACGTATAAGTAAACACATTGCAGTGGCTGAGCAGTTCCTTTCCTCCCATCAGGAGAGAGGACCCCTGATCCCAGCTTTCTGTCTGTTGTCTTTATTTCTTCACCTTCTTGCCACCCTTCATGGCCCTCACCCTGGACAGTTTGAGAACCATGTACATCATGGAAGATTATGATAAAATTTGGATTAAAGATTATGCTATAACAGGAAGGTAAAGGTGGCATGTAAATGTTTAAGATGTCCTGCATGTTCTATTTCTTGATCACAGTATTGCTTATTTCTTTGAAAATAATTTGCTAAATCATCTTGTGCAGTATGCGTTTTTCTATACTTTTGCTACTTTTACTATAAAGCAAAAATTAAAATGCATTAAGTTAGGTTCAACTCAAATAAATTTATGGATGGAAAAATTTTTATTGCTGATATTAGCAACTCCTTGTTTCATTTTGTGTAGGTTTTTCTGTATCTCACACAGAAAGAAATGCCTGTTGGAGAGCCATTGAGTCTCACTCAGTAGAAATAAATAGTGATAAGCACAGGCTAATTCAATTACTCAAGGTTTCACCCACCAAAAATATGTGAAAATGGAAAATCCAAACTATGATAAAGTCACCATTCTTTTTATTTTATTTTTTTTTTTTTTTTTGAGACAAGGTCTCTATGCAGTTCGGTCAGGCCCTGAGCTCACTTTTAGCCCAGCCTGGTTTTGAACTTGCAACAATCCTCCTGCCTCAGCCTCCAGAGTGCTAGTATTACAGGCATGAGCCACCATGCACCAATCAAAGATCACTGTTCTAAGGGCTCTTTTTTTATTCTCCTTGAGAAAGATACTGTTCCAGGATACTATGTACAAATGAAACAGCTTTTACTGGTACTTAGTTACTTCTTATTTGTGATCTGTAGTACATAAGAAGAGCTCATTTCCTGAAAGCATTGTGTGGTTATTAATAACATGCATAGAAAATGAATACTATAATATCATATTTTATAGTATATTTTCTGTCCTACTATATGAAATTTAGCCAAGATCTTACTCTGTTTTTGTACATATTACAAATTAAAAAGTGGGCAAGCATTGTATAAATATTAAATTCACTACTTTATGAAAATTGTAATACATAAAAGATAATACTAGTTGACTAGGTGCATATCAGATTGCTTTTTCTTCCTTTAAATTATTCTAAGGCCCAAAGAGAATTTTTTGGTTAATACTCCTGGAAAGTATGCAAGATCTTTTCAATGCTTAATTTCCATTCCTCATCTGTCTCCCTCCCCACCTCTTTTCCACTTTATTTTTCTAACCATAATATGAACTTCAGTGTACTGTGATTACATTACACACAACAATCAAGCAAAACTATAAATAGCATAGGAAAGAGATCCACATTTATAAGTGGATGTTGGCTTACTTTGCGAACACCTCTGCCGAGCTCCTCTCCATAGTTGGTTCCCAGAATTTCAAAATGGACATTGGGATTACCTCCATTTTCTGCAAATTCTAGCTCTCCAGTCAAGCCATTAACTCCCCCCTAAAAGAGAGAACAGATAAACATGTAAAAGGTCAGGAGAAAAAGAAAGAAAGAAAGAGAGAGAGACACACAGAGAGAGAGAGAGAGAGAGAGAGAGAGAGAGAGAGAGAGAGAGAGAGAGAGAGAGAGAGAGAGAGAGAGAGAGAGAGAGAGAGAGAGAGAGAGAGAGAAAGAAAGAGAAAGGGAGAGAAAGTAAGAAAAAAGAAAATGAAACTCTCCATCTATAAACATTTCAATATGAAATTATAACAGGTTATTTTTAAGAAGTAAACAGCATTTAAAAAAGAGTATAGTTGAAAATAATCTTGGAAATCACTTAATTCTATCTCAACCACTTGCCATACAGTCTGGGAAATTTAGGCCCAAAGAATCAAATAATTGCTCAAAATGACACCATGCAGCAGTGAGACTAAATACTCAGCTAGAGTTTTTGCCATCTTGCCTGTGGCTTGCCTGAATACATTGATTAAAATACAAGATGTGTCTGGAGAGTGTCTATATCTGCTCTAAAGACAAATTTTGAAACTATGGTGTTTCTCTCCATTCAGCTTTGTTCTAAAATTATACCTTTAAATCTTAAAATTGTTGTTTGCTAAATGATTGAAGGTTCATTTTCCTTTCCTGTAAATATTTTCCAAATCACAGCAATAATGTACTGTATATCTCAAAAAGCTAAAGAAAGGCTTATGAATTGTTTTTAACAAAAATGATACGTTTGAGGAAACAGGTATATTTAACCTGATTTAAAACATTATACAGTATTTAGAGCAAAATATCAAAACACCACAAGATACCTATTAATATACACAATTGTATGTTTTTATGTATGTTAAGAGAGTAAGACAGTAATATTGCAAACATATATGTAATATGTATATGTGCATGGGAAAGCTAAATTAGGCTTAAAACTGTTTTCCCTCTTAACTGCTAGTGCTGGCTGTGGAGAATCGCTGGGAATTTCCAAGCTTCATCTTTCATTCAGGATGACAGATGTTCATTTCCCCAACAGATGGCAATGTAGGTCATACTTCTCTCCTTCTTGTTTACATTCTGTTCTCACTGTAGTTTATCAGCTTTCATATTATTTTGGATGTTGCAAATCAACATCACGTTCTGAGTTGTCTCAATGTTAAAACCTATCTGACTCAGAGTTTTGGCCTAATAATGACAGACATTAATTTGGACAAGCAATTATCTCAGTTTGTAACTTGCTTCAATTACCACCTCTATGATACTGATGCTGAAATGCATCTCCCTTGCTATAACTTGTGAGTCTGGTTCTAGTCTTCTGGCTGGCCCCATACTGCCTGCTATCTCCCCCTATGTTATCCAGCCTCCTGGGCTCTCATGGGATGCTGAGCTCACAGAAGGCCTTGAAGAAACTTTTATGAAGTGATTTTTTTCTACTTTATAAATTGTAATATTTAATCCATTTCATGTTTGCAATAACTATAATTAATGAGTGAATCTTATTTTTAATCAGCTTCTCTCTTATCCAGTGTTGTTGATAATGAGTTGAATTTGATGCCTGTGTCTTTTTCATATTTGATGTAGCAATCCAAAGAAGTCACACTTCTTTGATGGCACCTGTAGCATCAGATCCTCCTAGGCGTGTAAGTCTGGTTGCATCACTTAACTTCCCTGTACGTGAAATTCTACATGTGATAAATGAGAAAGACAATAATCTCTACCCATCAGATGATCAAATGATGATGATGATGATGACGATGATGGTGGTGTAATCAAGTATAGCTTATAGAAGAGTGATTGACAGATGGTGGGAGGTTATTACATTTTTATGAGTACATGTTTGAAATATCTGTATAATGCTTATACAGATAATGGAGAGGTTATTACTATTATCATCATTACATATATTTTAATTTCATTTATTAGTTTTTGAGGCTTTCTAATATAATCAATTGCAGGCATAGCTGTAGTGTTCTTTTCATTTAAAGTTTATCTGATTTTCAAAAATTCATTATATTTATGAATATTTATAGGGTTGTAGAAGATGTTTATTGCTAATTTTGATTCAGTTGCTTTTCAGTGATTACTCCTTGGGAAGAAAAAAGTTAAAGCAATTTGTCTAGGATCTGTTCATTCCTTTTATAGTGTGTGAGGTGCATAGGAGTAGTGGTTCTAATGTGCTTGTCAATTGTGAGTTCAGGTATACAGAGCAGTAACATTTACTAAGAGAAAGTCTTGTTGTGTACAGACTCTATAGCAGTACATACCAGGCTAAGGAATTATTTAATAAATAAGTCCAGAACCTATGGGTTAATAGTCTGTGACTTTCTGAAAGTATCTTGAAACTTTGTGTTTTCTTAAAAGAATTGAGACACTTTCTAATAAACATGCTTCCTTTTATGGAAAGTAAACCTGCAAAACCTTCTCTGGAAATGGAATGTACACCGACATGGAGAAGACCGACCTGGCTAGCCATGTAGAATTTCTTGTACTCTTCTTCCATTGTCTATACTCCTCACTTGCCTGCATCTTCAACATAGGGAACATGTCTGATTCTTGCAAATAAATTCTACCCAATGTGTTAGTTCGTTACACCCAAACATAACTTAAGATTTTAAAAATTGAGTTAAGTAGAGTATATTTTATTAGCACTAATCTTCAAATGGTTAGTACTGTAGGAGCTTGGTTGATAAATATAGTTTATTCTATTACATAAAATTCTAACTACCAGGATTCTTTTTATAAGAGCTTTTGCTGTCTTCAATCACACATGTATCTCAATGGCATATCCTAATTACACCAGAGAATTACTTGTCTGTTATAGTATTTATTTTGTTGGGAAAGGAAAAATGACTTTATATTGAAAAATACTCTCTAGAATTTTTTAAACATTTGAATACTGGCCCACCTTTTGTTGCCTTCTTATTCCTTATTCCAAATTATTACTCACATGGCCACTGCAGGCCAGGTCTTCTGTCCTTGATAATATTAAGCCATTGAGCTATTTAGTGTACTTATGCTATACAAGGTACAAAAACAATAAATCAAGGACTTTGCTTTTAGTTTGCTGCAGCCTATGCTTACCTTGTTTGCCTTTTTGACTTTGTAATTTATCTTCTTTATGCTGTACTCTAATGAGCTGTTTGCTGCATAATCAGTGAAAGCTACCCTCATAGAGGTATCAGGGAGCTGGAGAGGTCGATATTTTAAGCAAATAAACCACTAAGTGAAACCTCTGGCTATATCACCCAGATTTAACCTCTCTGATTTCTCATTGTTTCAGAAAATTCCAGTGCTTCTGAGTTTCTTTGTTTTCTCATTTATGCTCAGATTAACCTTGAAAACAGAGCCATGGCAAAAAAAAAATTATGCTAGTCAGGTGGCAATGAATAGTCATTATCTTTGAGCGTGCATGGTGGGTATATTTGTATCTTTTTGTGAAGCAGCACATTCTAAACAAAATAAGCTAATGAGACATTGATAGAATGAATAACATATACAAATAATTTCCAAATGCCCTTTAAATTTGACAGAGAAATTGCTGCAAGAGTAACCATTTTAAAAATACCAGATAAATTAGCTTGGATTTTATCCTACTCATTTGATATAAAATACCAGTGGACATCAAATACAGAGTACAGAAAGAAGGAAAAATAAAAAAGGAAAAACCCAAGGTTGAAAATAGTTTATCACAGCACAAAAGTTGGGTAATAAGTTTCCAAAAGGGTAAAGTTTGCTGTTCCCCTATAGATAAAATAAATCAGAAAAAGAAAAAAAAAATGTTTACTAAGACTTTATTTCACTGTGTTTATAAAGTTGAAGGATCCTTTCCTATTTAGTAAAACCTCATCTGATAAGTACTTTGTCTTATGAGTGTGCTATAAAATGACCAAATATTTCTACTACATTTTAAGTTGATAAACCAGCAAAGTTTTCCAATATTAGTAGTGATGTTAAAAGTCACATGATCACAGCTGAGCCAGTGGTTGGTTTCTCCTCTCTCTCTCTCTCTCTCTCTCTCTCTCTCTCTCTCTCTCTGTCTCTCTCTGTTGCATTCACTTTTACTTTCCTTCACTGAGGGACTATGGGTGATCACAGTAAGAGGTTGGGAGATCTTGTCTGCAGAGGAGAGAAAGACAAAGGAGATCCTCATGTCAGATGAGATTAGGGAGAGGTGTAAAATGTGAGAAATAGTGCAAACTTTTGTAGGAAAGCACCAACCTGATCAAGAAAAGATGGCAGATAGATAACAGTAGCTAAGAGGCTCTCTGAGATACCAGCTTAGATTCCAGAAATGGTCAGTGTGGGGAGACATATGTCAGAGGGAGACATATCCTGTTGACACAGGAATGAGATAAGTGGAGAGAAACCAATTGGAAATGCATCCCGGTGCTATGATTGGAAAAACTAAAGTCTCGGTGTCGCTGCTTGAACTAGCGGATTGAACTCACTGTCACTGCTGCGCCTGAATTGGCGCAGCCAGGATAGCCTGCTAGTTTCAACTCACTGGAGATGCAAATGCTCTGAGAGTGGGAATCAGTGAGCCAAATTGAAAGCAGAGCTGGTGGGAAACCCTGTATCGACCTGCGGTGAGTGAGAGGAATTAAGACCCTTCCATAGACAAAGAGGCTCCAACAGAGGACATTCTAGGACCAGGCAGACTGGCCAGAATAGGGCCCTGCAGTGACTTCAGTCACATATTCCCCTCTCAAGCAGGATTGGTGGGGAGTGCTTGACCTGGGTGATGCCACTGATTGAGGCCCAATAGTCTAGCCCAAACAAAGTCCCTGCACCTGGCAGTGCACCCTAATGCAGTAAAGCCTTCAGTAGGTTGACCTGGAGGGGTGGGTCCAGAATAGGTTGCCTGGGTCTGTACCTCCTAGTACACTGCAGTGGGCAGGACCACATAGTCAGTGTGCTTCAGACAAACAGAAACCGACAAAGAAAGAAACTGGGCCTCCTATATACACCTGTATGGAAGGAAAAAAATTTGAGAAGAGGAGGCAACCAGAAAGGGTCCTCAGTGCTCA